AGGAAGATGGCTTCAGCCTCGCCCAAACGCCTCACAGCCTCTTATATAGGCAACTCCTGGGTAAATGGGTTACTTTTCCCGCGCCAGCACCCGCGCATGCGCACGGCGCTGGCGACAGCCTGTCTGGTCCCGGGCAGCTTTGCACCTGCCCGGGACTGCCTGCAAACGCCCGAGCCGTTTGCAAAGGCTCGGGACATAACAGTTCTCACTAACTTATATTCTTTGGCTGAAAAGACTTGGAGCATGTCCATCCTGCCAGACCAGATTAGATGGGCAGGAACAACTGAAAGAAGATGGTCTCTCAGGTAATCTGATCTCAAAGCCACAAAGGACTTTAAAGCCCTTCATGATTAAATCTCCTCCTCTTCACCCTCCCCCCTCCTCCTCCCAGATCCTCGGAAGGACTCAATAGGTGGATAAAAATGCCAAATGTCATCAACCAGAGTAAGACTAACTGCATGATAAATTTCTTCAAAACATTGAGGGGAAGTGCATAAAGATAAAAGCTGTCAATGGTTTACATTTAAAAAAGGAATCGGTTGCTTAAGAGCAAGGTATTCAAACTAAGGCAATCAAGGCCAGAATTGAAAAATCACCAAATGATTCAAAATGCAGATGGTACAAAGTAGTAGAGGAAACAGTAGATTATATGCTCAGCAAGATCACATAAACTGATAAATGATGAGATAATACAATAACCAAAATGGTTCACTGGAACATCTGTAAAAATTATCATTTCCAGTAATGAAAAATTGGTGGGAACGTATAGTTGAAAAAGTAATTGAAAATGACCAGATTAAAATATTGTGAGATTTCCAAATACAAACAGATTGGCTTGGCTTGTAACACACCAAAGTCTTGGCTTGTAACACACCAAATTTAATAGGAGATTTCAATCAGAATAAAGTTGGAAGGGACCTTGGAGGTCATCTAGTCCAACCCCCTGCTCAAGCAGGAGACCCTGTACCATCTCAGACAAGTGACTGTCCAGTCTCTTCTTAAAAGCCTCCAGTGATGAATCACCTACTACTTCTGAAGGCAAGCTGTTCCACTAGTTAATTGTCTTCACTGTTAGGAAGTTTCTCCTTAGTTCCAGGTTGCTTCTCTCCTTGATTAGTTTCCATCCATTTCTTGTCCTGCCTAAGGTGCTTTGGTAAATAAGTTGACTCCTTCATTTTCGTGACAACCTCTCAAATACTAGAATACTGCTATTATGTCACTCCTAGTCCTTTTTTTCTCTAGACTAGCCAAACCCAAATCCTGCAACCGTTCTTCATATGTTTTAGTCTCCAGGCCTTTAATCATCTTAGTTGCTCTTCTTTGCACTTTTCCCTAAAGTCTCAACATCTTTTTTGTAATGTGATGACCAAAACTGGATGCAGTATTCTAGGTGTGGCCTTACTAAGGCTTTATAAATTGGTACTAATACTTCACGTGAGAAAGTATGGGTAGTAGTAGTAGTAGTAATAATAATAGTAATAATAATAATAATAGTTGGAAGGGACCTTGGAGGTCATCTAGTCCAACCCCCTGCTCAGGCAGGAAACCCTATACCATTTCAGACAAATGGCTGTTCCAGTGTTGGAGCATTCACTGCTTCTGGAGGCAGGTTGTTCCACTGGTTAATTGTTCTAACTGTCAGGAAATTTCTCCTTAGTTCTAGGTTGCTTCTCTCCTTGATTACTTTCCATCTGTTGCTTCTTGTCCTTCCTTCAGGCACTTTGGAGAATAGCTTCACTCCCTCTTCTTTGTGGCAGCCCCTGAGATATTGGAACACTGCTATCATGTCCCCCCTCGTCCTTCTCTTCATTAAACTAGACATACCCAATTCCAGCAACTATTATGTGTTTTAGCCTCCAGTCCCCTAATCATCTTTGCTGCTCTTCTCTGTACTCTTTCTAGAGTCTCAACATCTTTTTTACATCGTGGTAATTAACGTGCAATACCAGAGAATAGTAAAAAGGAAGGAAGGAAGGAAGGCCCTAAAACATTTTCTAATATATAAACAATCACAATTGCTGAGCTATCAATGCTCAGTGGAAGATGGTGATACCTTTAGGAAAAAGTGGCTCCACAAATAACCTGGACCCAACAACGAGCACTTTGAATTGTATATGGAAAGATACTAGAAGCTAATGTAGTTCACATAGCAGAGATGCAATACCAGTAAATCAAAGGGTACATGAGACAGTATGTGTGTGCTGCTGCATTTTGGATCAGTTGTAAAGTCTGGATGATCGTCAAAGTCAGCCTCATATATAGCACATTGCAATGATCTAACTGGGAAGTGACAAACATATGAATGATTATGAGCAAGGTTTCCTGATCCAGGATCGGGTGCAATTGGCACAGAAACTGCAACTGTGCGAGGGGACCCTTAAGCTAAAGTAACTATCTGTTCTGCTGTGAGCCCAGGAGGACACCCCAAATTGTGTATCAGCTTCAGTCCAAGGCCCTTTCCATGTGCTCATTCTAAGTTGCAATACCAAGGCCTTGGCCAAATCATGCATCAGAGCTTCAGGAAAAACTTCAAATTCCATCTGAAATGGCACTGGGTCTATTATTATTATTAATATTGTTATTATTATTATTATTATTATTAATAATAATAATAATAATAATAATAATAATAATAATAATAAAGTTGGAAGGAACCTTGGAGGTCATCTAGTCCAATCCCCTGCTCAGGCAGGAAACCCTATACCATTTCAGACAAATGGCTGTCCAGTCTCTTCTTAAAAACTTCCAGTGTTGGAACATTCACTGCTTCTGGAGGCAGGTTGTTCCACTGGTTAATTGTTCTAACTGTCAGGAAGTTTCTCCTTAGTTCTAAGTTACTTCTCTCCTTGATTAGTTTCCACCCATTGCTTCTTGTCCTGCCTTCAGGCGCCTTGGAAAATAGCTTGACTCCCTCTTCTTTGTGGCAGCCCCTGAGATATTGGAACACTGCTATCATGTCCCCCCTCGTCCTTCTCTTCATTAAACTAGATATACCCAATTCCAGCAGCCTTTCCTTATATTCTTTAGCCTCCAGTCTCCTAATCATCTTTGTTGCTCTTCTCTGTACTCTTTCGAGAGTCTCAACATTTTTTTACATCGTGGTGACCAAAACTGGATGCAGTATTCCAAGTGTGGCCTTACCAAGGCATTGTAAAGTGGTATTAATACTTCACGTGATCTTGATTCTATCCTTCTGTTAGTGCAGCCCAGCACTGTGTTGGCCTTTTTGGCAGCTGCAGCACACTGCTGGCTCATATTTAAGTGATTGTCCACTAGGACTCCGAGGTCCCTCTCACAGTTACTACTATTGAGCAAGGTACCCCCTATACTATACTTGTATTGGTTGCCTGGAGTGGGCCAATTGAACAAGTCCTACTTCCCTGCAGTGGGGTAGTCTCAGAAAACTCTATGGCCAGAAGGACATGACAAGGGATTGCTATTAACATCATCCATGGTATGAACCCTGTATGACCTGTCACAAGACAAAAAACTAATGTAGGTTAGACCCTGATTAAGTTGGACCAGTCCATGGTTGGAACCACTACTGACTCCAGTGTCAGAGAAGAGTGGCTAAAATCCCACAGAACTATGAGTCTGGGAAATGCCACTGCCAATTCAGGTACAGCAGGGGTTTCAAACTGCCGGCCCATGGGCCGGTTTCATCATACTGGAGCCGCGCCCACCCCATTGCCGGCAATGGCAAAAAAGCTCCGATACGTTGCTTGTGACGTCGCAAGTTTGACATGTCTGAGGTACAGCATCAAGGAACTTGGACAGGAACACTGCTGCACTATGGGGAAGATGATAAGCAAGCAGCAGCCCCAATTGGTCCCTTTGGTCCAATCTGTCATTGAGGATCTCACTTCCAGCTATGTACAAAATTATGAGATGAAAACTGCCCTCCCCCTTGCCTTCTTAAATATAGCCATATTGATTATATAGGTATAATCCAGTGGTTCTCAACCTTTCTAATGCCGTGACCCCATAATACAGTTCCCCATGTTGTGGTGACCCCCAACCACTTATACATCACCGGGTGCCAGGGGCGTGGCCAAAGAAAAGGGGGAAAAATGGCGGACAGCCTTGTTTGGCGACCCCCATGAAATGGTCGTTTGACCCCAAATGGGGTCCCGACCCACAGGTTGAGAACCACTGGTATAATCGATAAAATAAAGTGAAGCTAAAATGATTAATGGAGGTCTATTTGTCCTCCAGGTTTGTATCTTCAGTTGGTTTTCCTTTTCAGGGGCTAGTCAGTGATAAATTACCTGTAATCCTAGTCATCAATAGAAAGTTTTTTAAAAAAGAGAAAAAAAATTGTCATAGATGAGCATTGATGAATTATCAGTGATTTTGGAGCACAATTTTTGTTGGATCCAAAGTGTAATGGAATCTGAGGTTTCCACCTCCTAACAGAACAAGGGAAATTTCTTTAATTGGGATCGTGGCTGGAGAGGCAGTGTTGAATCTCCCTTTCCTTTCGGCTGTGCTTCCTTGTATCCCCTGGACGCACTCTTACCTAACCTTCCCCCGTCTAATTCTGCTTCCAATTATAAAGTTAGCTCACATTTATTTCTGCCTCCAGAATGCTTTGCTCAGCAAATTTGAAGAAAAGCCTTAGTATTTTCAAAAGATGCAATATCATTTTAAAAAATGAAGACAATGTTACTTTATTGAGCCAGACTATCTATGATACTCAACTGTACATCTTTTGTTTGGGTAGAGGCTGCAAATTAAGTAGAAGACTGAGAAACTAGGGAAAGAGAGAGGATTCATACCCTTCTCCTCTCATGCTATCTTTTATTTAAAAAAAAAAAAGATTTCCCCAATTTTTTTTGTAACTTCCATTCTTCACAAAACCAAATTGGGCTAAACCACAGATGTCTGTCACAGTATTTAATTTTTAGTTAATGAAATAGAATGTTTAATAATGATAATAATTTTAAATCCTCCCTGAAAAATCCAAGGATACTTACAAAATAAAATGAGTGTCAACTTACCTCTACTTAAAGTGGTGTCTTTTTTATCTGTTAAACTCATAGCTAGGGAGGCACCATCAGGGATCTATGAGCCAGAGGGAGAAGCAAAGTCTTATTAGGAACGAGTAACAAATTACATTGTGACATTTCTGCAAAATGACTGAGAGACATTTACTAAATACATTTAGCAAAGAGTTATAATCTCCTGTCTTAGGATACATGCATTTTTCTGCAACTTGCTGCTGACAAATGCTTACGACTCTCGCCTTTGTCTCCTCTGCCCATTATCAGATTTTTAAAATAAAATGGCTGCAAATTAATTTCATTGATTCTAGAGTTATCAATGGCTTGACTAATTTAACCACATTATGCTGCATCACATCTTTAATATGCATATAAGTATTAAAGAACTCCCATTTTACATTTTGATGGAAATATTAAGATATCTGCAGAGACAACAATGTGAATTGAGTGTAGTTTACCCCTTAAGCACGTAAAACTGAACATGCTGTCACTTAGGAAGAAGACCACATTGTGCAAAGAGGGACTTTGTAAATGCATACAGAAGCTTATATTGTACAAATTGTTTCTCTATTTTTCTTATGCCTGTGGAAAACATTACATCAGAATAATAAAAACACGGTGGATTTTGCACAAAAGATCTGTGAACAGGAGATGACAGAAATGTAATATTCTGATAACAGGCGCTCTCTGCAAACTACATATGAATTTTTTGTTATACCATTTTCTTTACGCATTCCGTAATGGGAGCTTTTTTGAAATACATATTGGATTACAGACTAGTTCACAAACATAGCCACCATAAGACTGGGTAAACATAAAAGCTTAAAAGTAGGAAGGGTTTAATTGAGATCAGGTACAGATGTAGAATCATAGAATCAAAGGGCTAGAAGGGACCTTGGAGGTCTTCTAGTCCAATCCCCTTCTCAAGGCAGGAGATCTTATACCATCTCAGACAACTGGTGGCCCAATCTTTTCTTGAAAACCTCCAGTGATGGAGTGCCCACATCTCTGGGAGGTAAGCTGTTCCATTGATTAATTGTTCTCATTGTCAAGAAATTCCTCCTTATTTCCAGACTGAATCTCTCTCTGACGAACTTCCACCCACTACTTCTTGTCAGATACTACAGAGAATAAATCAATGCCCTCTTTCCTGTGACAGCCCTTTAGGTTTCAGAAGACTGCCACCATGCAGTCTGAATGAAGTACTCCAAATGTGGTCTGATTAGTGCAATGTAGAGAAGTACTATCACTTCCTGCAAGGTTGAAGCAGCCTAGGATTGTATTGGCTTTTTTGGCAGCTGCATCACATTGCTGAGCCATAGTTAAGCGGTAATCCACTAGCTCCTCTCACAGTTACTACTGTTGAGCCAGGTGCCTCCTATTCTATACCGATGCATTTACTTTTTCCTGCCTACATGCAGGACCTTATTTTTCCCACCACTCAGCTGCCTCTTGCTGGATAGGGTCCAACGCTCAAGTCTGTCAAGAACTTTCTGAATCTTGAGTCTATCTTCCAAAGTGTTGACAATTCCCTCCAGCTTGGTGTCATTTTCAAATTTGATGAGTTCCTCTTCTATCCCCTGGTCTAGATCATTTATAAAGATGATGAAGAACACTGGGCCCAAGACAGAACTCCACTGCATGCACGCTTCCCTCCACATAGATGTAGCTACATTGAGGACTACATGCTGACTGCAGTTGGTCTGCCAACTGCGAATCCATCTGGTCGTGGTACTGTCTATCCCACGCTTTTCTATCTTACCAGGAAATAGGCTGTGGTACTGTAAAAGTAGTGAGAGCCAGTTTGATGTAGTGATTAAGGCACGAGGCTAGAAAATGGGAGACTGGGAGCTTTAGGCACAAAGCCATCTGGGTGACCTTGGGCCAGTCGCTTTCTCTCAGTTCTAGGAAGCAGGCAATGGCAAACCCCTTCTGAAAAACCTTTCCAAGAAAACTGCAGGGAATTGTCCAGGCAGTCTTTGAGAATCAGGCACAACTGAACGGAAGGAAAAACCCAGAAGTAGTACATGCTCAGTCCCACGGCTATTGTATGAAATTAGTATATGCGTGTGAAAATGCTTTGAAGAAAGGCCTAAATTATATGACTGTCACTTCAAATGAATTGAAATTATTTTTCACAAAGGAAGTTTAAAAAAAAGCAGGCTTCTTTTGTGGGCAACCCGTGCTCCCATAAGACATCAATGCGAACTCTGACACTATTGTTAAGAAGAGGACTGGCATGATTTTAATTAGGACGGATGGATGGCAGCCACTGGGAAAAACGAAGCTTTTTCTTCCACGGCAATATCTTGTTTTGCATGAAAAGTGTTTAATTAGTCTTGATGTGTTGCAATATTAACGAATTTCTCGCCAGGGCAGATGTCTATTCCCCAGAAGGTCTTGTGGAGTTATGGCAACCTTCCTGCTTGCTTCTACTAATCCTGCTTAGGAAGCAGATCGTGGGGCCTCTGAGGAAAGCCAGGCTGAAAGGGAAAGAAATTCTTGGAGCAATGATACTTTTTTTACCTTATAATGTCCTAAGGTGTTCAGTTTTTTCCTGCCATCTTCCATCACGGAAGTGTCATCAAGGTCCCGGAGGATGTAACTGTCAGTGCTTGTGGCAAACCATTCTAAAAAAAGAAAACGGAATAAAAAGTTACCTGAAATACAGCAAGTGTTAGCAAGAATATAAATCGCTTTTCTTATTTTGATGCCACATTTTGTGATTTGGCAAACGAGTACTCCAGTAGCAAGCATTTTTATTCCATTAGACTCACATGTGAGTAACCATGGTAGAAAATCTTTTAAGAGCATTGCAAGTAGATAATTTGTAATCCCTGTTACTCTTTGTACTATCTATATACCAATAAAAATACTATCACACTTAAACTTTGCAAAGAAAAAAACACCCTGATTTCCAACTACCTGGATTTAAATAAATATACAACAATTGCTTTTGCTCAAGTACAGTCTAACCCTGAATGCATTTATACAGAAATTCTATTAATTTCAAACATTTCAAATTCAGTTAATTTCTGAAGCACAACTTAAGAGAACGTAAATAAAGTTACAAACTATTAATTAATTGTAGAGCTACCATTTTTTTCTGACTTCAACCAATTTTTTCAATTTCCTCAAAACTTTTTTTTTTAAATTTCAGAGGAGGGAAACTGCTGAGCTCCCTGTGAAAATCACCATTTTCTCTATATTCCCTAGCATTTATATCTGGAAATAAAGCTTATTACCTTTGCTTCTGCCAAGATCTCCTTTTTAGTTTTGGGCAATGATTAGCAACAGTACTTTATGTTCCTGTTGCTGTTTCCCTGAATATGCTGAATAAGCACAACTAGGGGCATTCCTGAGATTTAGCCCTCAGTGTTTTATTTGATGGCTTGGTCCTTCAATAATTAGTGCCATCTCTATTAAATCTTTTACCCACACACATGTACATATGCGCGCGCACACACACACACACACACACACACACACACACTCCACCTCAATGCAACCTATCTCTGTCATTTTTTGTTCCTGGAAGTTCTAGGTTTGGTGATTATTTTGCTTGTATGTAACGTAAGCACTCTTAATGGCAAAGTGAATTTTTGAAAACAAGCAAAACAAATACCAAATCTCTTAAAACACTGCTTAATTCCCAAGCAGCTGATCAAAGAAAAACACTAAGGGCAGATATTCCATGTCTGAATGTTATCTTGTATATGATGAGCATTCATATCCTAAAGATAAAAACTGGTGCTTCTCAACAAAAAAAAAAACTTACTTACCTAGATCAACATCTTCCACTCTGGGCCATTGGGAGTATGGAATATTCTTGCAAAAGGCTTCAAGTATCTTCTCTTTAACTTGACTGAGAGTATCTGTATCCATCACCCGAACACTCAGAGAGTCCATTCCACAGCCTTGGAAAGACACATTAAGATTCTGTGGAAGGAGAAGGTTGCTAAGGTTGTAGGTGATATGCACAAGTTATAAGCATGAAAAGCATATGAACTATAGACTCCAAGAATCCTTGGCAAATCTAACTACCGTATATTAAAAGAGAGAGGGATGGCAAGAGGTGAATGTTAAAGCTAGTGAAAAGCACTGATTTATAGTTCAGTAAATTGGTATTGACTGTTTTATTCAAGGCGGTATGAGAACATTGTTAAGTTCCCCTTGAACTGTCCTGTCTATGAACTTAAGGTCTGAAATACAGGAACAATATCATGCAGTTGCCATTTTCTTCCATAAATTCATTTTGTAGCACCAGTGAATATGGGTACAATGATAATTTACTTTGCCTTAGAATGATTATGAACTCTCTCTCTCTTTCTGTGTGTGTGTGTGTGTGTGTGTGTGTGTGAGAGAGAGAGAGAGAGAGAGAGAGGGAGAGAGATGTAACATAGATCTAGTACATAATAAATGACCTTGGCTCTTCCCTGGGCTAAGTAGAAATTACATTTAGCAACCTGAGCTTCTGTGTCTTCTTGTTGCTACCACTGCTGCATTGACATAATTCTCATAAATATAAGCAGATAAAACCTAGACATGTGTCTTAACTTCACTACTTCAGACTGCAAATGAGGGTTGATATGATGAAATACTTCCCTACAAGACAACCCCCCCCCACATTTTAAAAAAAAACACATTAGGGAGAAAGCTTTGCTAAAATCCCTCTGCCTGGTCTCTTAGCTTATTAAATATAGTTGGATTTTAAAAAAATACAGAAGAGCAATCAAATACATCTTTAAATGCAGCTGGACATGACACAGTTTAAGAAAGCTTTACAATTTATTTTGCTCTTTGGAATAATAAGGCCCATGCAGCATTTGTAGCAATAAGAAGATATTTATGAGAATTTGCATTTGTAAATCACAGTGTTCTCTCTTAAATTTTTGTGCTCCTTTTGAATTAACTAGCTATAATATACTAGCTAGTTGATTCAAAAAGAACAAAATACCTCAAGAGAGAAAACTATGTTTTTTTACCATTTGGGAACAGACATTAGCTGAAGATTACGTTTGACAACTGAACGTGTCAAGATTCTATTCCTGAATATTTAATTCAGGATTTTATTCCATTAAAACAATATTCAGCTAGAAGCAGTGTGACTACATATAATCAGGTACAGTATGTTCACAAGAAATATACAGAAGTGTTCCAAATGTATAGTTGGTGATATCTCATGAATATGATTTCACAAGAGCACTTTTTATTTGATTGTTATTCTACCTTTGTTCTTGGATGAATTTGAGGTGGAGTACGTTTCTTTATGCTCCCACCTCCTATTTTGCATACTACAAAATGTGACATGGGCTGGACTGAAAGAGAATGATTGGCACATAGAACTCCCAGCTGGTTTTCATGATCAAGGCATAACAGGAAACATGACCCCCTGCTTTCTAATCCAATACCTTAACCGGGAGTCCCCAATCCCCTGTCTGTGGACTGGCACCGGTCTGCAGCATGCCAGCAAGTGGGCCGCACAAACAAGCAAAGCTCCATCCTCTGGTCCATGGAAAAGCCTTTCTCCATGGTCCTTGGTGCCCAAAATGTTGGAGACCTCTGCCTTAGCCAGCAAATCAAATTGGCTTCCTCTTTTGGACAGCAAAATACTGCTAGTCCTTGACTTAGGATCACAACTGAGCCCAAAATTTCTCTTGCTAAGTGAGACAGTTGTTAAGTGAATTTTGCCCTATTTTACAACTTTTCTTGCAATAGTTATAAAGTGAATCGCTGCATTTGTTGAGTTAGTAACGCAGTTGTTAAGTGGATCTGTCTTCCCCATTGTCTTTGCTTGTCAGAAGGTCATAAAAGGTGATTACATGACTCTGGGACACCACAACTGTCATAAATATGAGTCAGTTGCCAAGCAGCTGAATTTTGATCACATGACCACGCAGAAGCTACAAGTGTGAAAACCAGTCATAAGTCACTTTCTTTTAGTGCCATTGTAACTTCTAATGGTCACTAAATGAACTGTTGTAAGTTAAGGACTGCCTCAATGCTGTCTTTTGAACTGCATACATTCAATCCTACATATCTGAAATTCTGATAACCCAGAGCTATGGAGAGATGGGAAGTTTAATGAATTATAATTATTGTTACGATACCACTGTTCCCTGACCTCAACTCTTCAATATACCATCATAGGTACTGCGAGTTGTAGACAGTTCTGCTTGTGTCCTGGGAACATTTTTTATATATGTATTTTTAAAAAAGAATCAATTGTGGACTGTTTGTGTGCTCTTAATGATATCTCTGAATGGAACTGTCCATTCATTTCTATTTCAGTCGCTAGTAAACAAAGACTAAAATACATTTTTCCAATTTATTCATATGGATTCATGAAAGACAAAGCTGCCCTTCAATTCTGCACCGTAAGTTATCATTCAGCTAGGAATGGGTATATGGCAGTAAGGCAAAAGGTTCAGTGCCCCAAAGCTGTTTCCATTTACACCCATCCTAACTTCTGAGTGAGCCCACTGATTCTGGGACTATTCTTCAAGATTTACACAATTGCAGTCAAATACAGAGTTTAATTTTCATTCTGCAGACATTTTTACTACTGCATTTACTAACAGGCTGAATTTAACACATTCCTCCATCGAGTACTGGTTCAGGAATTCTGGGAATTGAATTCCATGAGTCATAAAAGAGCCAAGGTTGCCTACCCCTGGCCTAGTATGAACTAGCTCATAAAAAACATAATTTTTCAGTAGAATTATAAAACATCATAATTTTTCAGTACAATTCCTGTAATATTTGTAATAAAACCTTGAATAACTACTGTGTTTTCCCGAAAATAAAACTCGGTCTTATTATTATTTTTTGCCTCCAAAAGAGGCACCAGGTCTTATTTTTGGGGGGTGTCTTTTCCACGGTCTCACCTCGTAGTGGCGGCACCAACAGCCCCGCCCAGCTGACCCACTTCTTCTGCAGCTGAAGGAAATGCCTCACAGCTGAGAATGGAGCTTTGGATTGATGCACGTGGCCTGCATTTCGCTATCAGAAAGGCCTCTGCAGCCAATAACCGAGCTACGGATTGAATCAGTAGCTCGGTTCTTGGCTGCAGAGACCTTTCCAGAAGGCCTCTGCCAGTGAAATGGAGGCTGGGGGGTGCTGCAGAAGAAGTAGGCTGGCAAGGTGAGGCAGGTGTCGATTTGTGTGAGGCCTGGCTGCAATGGTAAGCGGTGTGGGGCATGTGGGGCAGCTCCACCCCCTCCCTGATCCTAGCTTGATTTTTAGCTGTGCACCTCACCCCAAAACTAGGCTTATTTTTGGTGTAGGGTTTACATTAGGCCCACCCCCAAAAATCAAGCTAGGGCTTATTTTCGAGGTAGGTCTTACTTTCAGGGAAACACAGTAGTAACTGTTTCCATCATCTATGAACTGATAATTCGATATATACTCTGTTTTTCAGGTCTTAGCAACACTGATATTTTAAGAATTGCATATTTCATATATGTTTGCACAATTGCTACCATTTGATATATAGAATAGGTAGTAAAATTTGGAGAATAGGTATCTAATCTACATAATTCCTAAGAAAACTGTACTTTGAGTACATTATGATTTGTCAACCTCAATGATTTTGTGTTTTGACTAGTTATCTCACTAGACATGATCCATTTTCAAGACCTATCTTTTATAGTACACTTGTTGGAAAATATTCCCCTCTGTATTCAGCACGGTCCTTCAATTCAAGGAGAATTGGGGCTGCTATTACTAAAAAAACAATGACTTATCTTTTTTGGAAAAAAAACCTCTGAGTTATAACTGAAAAAACTAATTTAGTTTGGGAAGAAGTTTTTCAATCTCAGGGGAGCCTGCTAACTGAATGAACACTTAGAAAAATCATGATTTGATCCCTGCTGTCCCTTTTGTCTCTGGTCACAGCTTCAGCCACTTTGTCTATCAAGGGAATAAGTAACCTTAGTGGTGGTTGCTTAGGAACAGGATGCATTTTTGAATTTCAGAACAGAGATAACACACTCAAAAAGAGGTATCAGCCTTTTTGTTGCATCAAACAGGCCTTCAAACCTTAAGGTGTCCTGGTTACAAAAGCCTCATAGGCAAAGTAACAAACACATTTTTATTAAAAACAAGAAAAAGGAACTTCTTACCCTTGGCTTTGCTTCAATGTTTTCTCTCAATAACCATTCTTCATTAAGCGTATATCTTGCTTTTCCAGTGATGGCATCAATAGATCCTTTATTGATTTGTTGTTTAATAGCACATAACAGCAGGAAAAAAGGCTCCCCAACTGTTTCCTATTAGATGAAATAACAAGCTATGATTTTCTGAGCATAAACTAACAATGGACATTTTTTATAACATTGTCCATATATGCAAAGGGTAATTCACACTTCTAGTTGTAATACTAGTGTATTATAAAGTAACCCAAAAGAGCTACTTATCACTCTACAAAAGCAAATGAAATTATTCACTTATGAGAAGATTTAAGAACCAATATGAAAGCATTCAGACTGAAAAATTATAGTACAGGAACAACTATACAATTTAGCTTTGTTCAATATCCTGTACAACTACAATATTTATATGGACCTCTACAGAGAAGATAGATCTGGGTGAGGTGATCCAATGGTTTCAGGTGAGCTTTCATCATTATGCTGATGATCCCCAGCTTTGTATCTCCTGCCTGAGCGATGCCCTGGACATCTTGTCTCAAAGCCTGGAGACTGAGGAACCTGGATGGGGCACTATGGGTTTAGATTCAACCCAAGCAAGACTGTGGCTTTGGATGCTTCCTGGATAAGGTGGCACTGCCTTAGATGAACCTGGTGTGCAATTTGGGGGTCTTCTTGGACTCACAGCTCCTGCTGGAGCAGGTGTTAGCCATGGCTAAGAGGGCATTTGTACACCTTGTGTGTACCAGTTGCACCCAGGACAATTTGTTCATTGTCTCTCATGCCCTTGTAACCTCCCATTTGAACTACTGCCACATGATCTACATAGGGCTGCCCTTAAGGAACATACAGAAGTTTCAGTAGAATGTAGGGATAGAATGTAGCTGCACGGGTTCTAAATGGTGTCAACTACATGATACATGTAACACCGTTGCTTTGGAGACAGCATTGTTTGTAGGTCTGTTTCCAGGTGCAAATCAAGGGGCTACTTGTCAACTTTAAAGCCCTTCATGCAGTGGTGAGATTCAAATATGGGAACAACTGGTTCTCTGCGTGGATGCCACTTCTGGAAGTTCGTTCTAGGCTTGGGCAATAAAAAATTAGTTATCGGTTTTGCCGAAGTGGTGCGAACTGGCTGAATCCCTTCATGGCTTGGGACTGGGTTATCTGAGAGACCATCTTCTTCCAGTTGTTTTATCCATCCAATCTGGCCCATCAGGATTGATATGCTCTGGATTCCATCAGTCAAGGAACGTTGGCTGGTGGGGGCCAGGAGATGTGCCTTCTCTGCTATAACTCCTGCTCTATTGAACATTCTCCCTCCAAAGATTGAATAGATCTTACTCTGTGGGCTTTTTGGAAAGCCTTGAAAACCTGGCCATGTGCCAGGGTCCAGGGCCCCGGGTATATGAATGGGCCTATTTCCTGGTTATGTTGACAACAATGGATATGTCTTAGCTGTTACTGATATTTAATTTCTTTTATGTATTGTGTTTTAGCAATTTTAACTATTTTTATGATTGTTTGCTGCCCAGAGTCACTGGCTTGAGGTGGATGGCTATGCTAACTAACTAGCTAACTATTTAAAAAATGAAATTTCCACAAACTTTTAATTCAGTACTTACTTTATATGGCAACATTCAAATTGGATAGCAGTAACTTTATTAACATTTTGTGTATAGACTTTTGAAGAATCCAAAAGGAATTTTTCTGATTAAATTCATATCAAATTAAGGAAGCCCTCTTAATGTCATTAGTTAATAGTAATATTTGTTTCATTCATTAAGGGGTATATTTACTTTTGTGATGCAACTGTGCCTCTCCCACATGCAACCAGGTGCATACACACTTCTGAATGTCTAACTGCTCTAGTATAACTATTATAAAAATGTTTTAGAATTCTACATGGTCCACATCTGTTCAAATTCCTCCACTTGATGGGTACACATCACTATAGAAACAGGTTATTACTGGCTTTCACTCAGTTGTTCTTGGCAATATAAACAAGGCTGTCCATGGGTGTATACTATCTGTTTTGTAGTGCCAAGATTTAATTTTTCATCAGCATAATTTCTTCTGATAAAATGATAATAATTCTAACTTACTCATTTGAAGATTTTGCTAACACTTTGTTAGATGTTTACTTCTTACTGGAGTTGTTGTTATCAATTTAACTTGTTTTCATTTTACTCTTTTAATTTTGGTTTTGGATACATTTCACAACAGCCGCATTGCTACTAGATGAGAAATATGCTTATTTAATTTATAGGGATAGAACAGAAAAATATTAATGTCTCTAGATTCTAGAAGTGGTAAAGTGGTATTACATGTCAGATTATGATATTATATCATTCTCATTTTGGAGGGAGAGGTTTTTTTTCAGTATTTACCTCCATTTATCCACTATTTATCCATTTTCTTTCAGAAGGGAAAAAAATTAAATAGTTGGATAATCAATTCTGAGGGATAGCAGTAGGAACTCTCCAAGCAGTCCAGAAACACCCTCCTAGGTTAGTGTATTTAGTACTATTCCTTTAGCTTTGCTTACAAAATTGGAGAGAATAAAATTTCAAGAATGTTTGCTGAGAAAGCTGATTTTGCTATGAAGCTACAGTGGCCTAGTGAGTAGTTATACACTAAATTTAGACCCAGGCCTCTGAAAAATCAAGGTCAGTTATGCATTCTGGATCTGCACTAAACTTCAGATTTAAGTTCCTTCTCCAATACATCAACACCCTGTCCTCCAACAAACAAGGCTAAACCTCCACACAAAATCTATTAAAGTCTCAGAAACAAAATATGTGTCAATCATAAAGCTACTTCCAAAGCTAGTGAATGTGCTTTATGAGGAGGCCACCCTGACAGAACTAGTATTTATTGCCATGGCATCACATATACTGTTTTTGATTAAACAGAGTGCATGAATTTTTTCTACTTTGTTTTGAAAGATACTGCTACAAAAAAAGCTAGGGCTTTTCAGTTACTGCTGCAGTATTTTGCAACAGGTTTAATGGCAAGGGTTACTACTGAAGAAAGAACAACTACACTACATGATATGTATATACATATACATATACATATATATATATTCAATGATGCAATCTTCGATCTCCGGGAAGAGTATACTCCAGTTATTTATTGTTAAAATAACATTTAAAACAATAAAAATAGTTATATAATCTTGTATATAACTGTTTTTATTGTTTTAAATGTTATTTTAACAATAAATAACTGGAGTATACTCTTCCCGGAGATCGAAGATTGCATCATTGAACAAATATGCCCGGGATTTGTATTTATATGCCCGGGATTTGTATTTTTATAACCATTAAAGACATATATATATATATATATATATATATATATATATATATATATAATATATATATATATATATATATATATATATCTCAAAAAAATAAAGGGAACACAAACGTATAGGATCCTATATATATATATATATATATATGTAGGTCTTTGGTTATTCGGGTTTTCTCCCGTGTAAAATTAGAAGTGTCTTGGTGGGAGAAAAGTGTTTTACGTGGGAGAAAACCCGAATAACCAAACACCAAACACCCGCGAAAACCTCAGAAAACACACACACACATATGTAGGTCTTTGGTTATTCGGGTTTTCTCCCGCGTAAAATTGGAAGTGTCTTGGCGACGTTTCGACGAAGTCTCATTCGTCATCTTCAGGCTGGTGCTTTCAGCTTCTTGCTTCTAGGAGCAATGTGTGGTTGTAGCTGTTTCTTCCTTTTAACTGCCAGTGGGGGTATGAACTGATTGGATGGGAGCTTGGCTGTGTTCTGATTGGGTGGAGGTGTGCTCTGATTGGCTAGGGGCTTGGCTGTGCTCTGATTGGCTGGGGGGTTGGCTGTGCTCTGATTGGATGCGGGAGTGTTCTGTATGGGTGGGGGCTTTGTTGTGCTCAGGTTTGTCTTAGTTACAGAGGGATTAGAGATGGTGAACTGCATTGCTGTTGTTTGGCTTCGCGTTCGTGGTCGTGGGTTTGGCTTCGCGTTCGTGGGCTAAGAAACACATTTAAAAATGGAGAAGGAAATACACAGAAAACAATTGCTGATGAAATAGCAATGCTTGGAATGTTTTATAAAATTATTGTGGGAAATAGTTTTGGAAATGACTTGGATTTTTTTGTTAGAGAAAATGATTAACAGGCTTTCTTAAAAGAAAAAACATATTTTTCCACTGTGTTTGTTTTTTTAATAAGACATTTTGACTTGCGACTGTAATATGGTTCCTTCAAAGTAATCCTGAACATAAAAATAACTTGCATGAATAAAAATTGCAAATTGGCATCTTTCTTTCAAATGTTCCTTATATGATGTTTTCAAGCTGCTTCTCTATATGCTTCAACCTAAATGGTCACTTGAAAAACATAAAATAGAATATCACGCAAATTTATATGTTATTCTTATACTGAGACAACTTTATGCTATGCTATAAAGTAGCTGGTTCAAGCACAGCATGTTGTCCAAACACAATGTATTGTGTTAATTCTAGAAAGCAAGGTTTTCATGGTGTATATCATCATAATGTTAGAAAACTTTGTATACCATCTAAACTCAAGATTATGGAACCGTGTTAAAATGAGCTATAAAATGCAAACAAAAAAAATCTATTATGTTTTATTCTAAAAAATTCAAACAGTTGCAAAGCAAGGCAGCCAATATGTACACTGACTATGTAAGTCTAGACCTCTATGGAGAAACACCATAATTTCTTTCTCACTTAAATACAGAATAAGTTCCTTACAACTTCATATTTTTATAAACATTATAGTAAATGAAAAACCTTTTGTTCAGAACCTACTTTGTTAAATGTTACAGTATATCATAATTTAAAGAATATTGTTGGCATTTGTTGAAATATAGCTATAAGACATTGATTTATACCTACCACAATTAGCACAGATCATGGTTATACATACATTCAAATTCAAGTTACCTAATCTTTTGCAAACTATTATTTAATAACTATAAGCTTCCTTAACCACAATTTAAAATGATGTCAGAATTGAGGCTTTCAGTTAGTTTGTCAGATAATTTGTTTTAAAAACCATTTTTGAGTGTATATTAATATCTACCTACCTACCTACCTACA